TTTGTGAAGTGTGTAGAACAGCGAGAGTATACTCCGTAATTGTAGTTACGAGTTGTAAGGGTTCAACACATCCGATTACCAATCCAGACCACGTCTATAGTCATTCTAGCACGTCACAATATACAAGAAGTTATGGTAAGAACTAATTGCTTACTTTCCTTGTATATGACGCGGACCGCATAGAAGACGAAAAAAATTTCGACACGCAGCAACGTGATCTCATAAGGCTCCTAACAAAAAATAGGGGTAATACACAGACGGATACACAGATAGCAAGACGATCTCATGAGCCTCCTTTCATCATTTAAAATTAAGGAAATTAGTTCATTAAAAGGGAAATGATTTCGATAAAATTTTGCTGTGAGGCAAAGCTACCCCTCTAACAGGCCGTGGAGACGACGGGGCTCCCACAATTTCTAAGACAGTCGGTTGACAGATGGCAGTGAGGTTGTCAGCCGTACGCGCCGGTCACCGTTACTCTTACCTTTACCCCCAGGAAGATTCCTGGTACTCAAGCCTCAAGCCTCTGTGCCCCAAAATTTTGCGGATCTGTATTTAATGTCGTTGGGATAATGCAGTTTTCTTTCTACGAGTAAGTGATGTTATGTCTTCATTATTTTATAAGAATCTCACGCCAGACTTTACAAAATACCGCAGTTTGTATAACAGTTGCATCAAGGTTTTGTCTGCCAAGCAGTCCGGCTTTAATATCTGCAGGGTAAACAGGTGTAGCTCTTCTCCACATGGTCGAAACCTCCTGTGTGGGCCACTCATCTTCTTACTACGTAGATGGGTAGGTGGGCTCTTTCCTCGGCGGTAGAACAAACGGGGCGTGAAACTGACAACTCATATCCAACAATGCTGATTCTGTACCTCCATTGCCTCATACATCTTCACGGCATGGTGCTTAATTAACACAAGAGTATGAATGTATGAGGGGTAGGCCTTCTCGGCCCTTGCACCGCGACCTACAGTGGTCTATTATGCTTAACACAAGGGTAACTTCACTCTTTACTTATCATCATCATCATCATCAACAACAACAACAACAACAACAACACTGGCAAAACAGCCCTTATTTGAGCCATAGACTTCCTTAGAAATTTCTGTCAGATTGTATCCGGTTTTACTTCTTCGAATTTCGCAGCAATATTTTTTTTTGTACAGAGCAAGGTCGTCATCCTTGCATCGATCCCCCAACCTGGAGTGCCAAGCCTCTGTATTTGTGTCCTCCAGGTACAGACTGGCCCAGTTATCCCCTAGGCACCGGGTTCCCTTTTCGCCACCTACGACTCGCATAGCTGCGATGGGTGTGTTCTAATTTTTTATTGCTAGTGGGGTGGGACTAAGTCCCTTGCACTGCGGCCACTTCTGGCCTATTGTACCAGCCCCAGATGATAGGTGAGGGTGATTGTGGAGCAATTGGTGGAATGAAGATTGGCAGGGGAAACGAAGTACTCGAAGAAAACCTGCCCCAGCGCCACTTTGTCCACAACAAATCCCACTTGACCAGACCCGGGATCGAACCCGGGCCGCCGCGGTCGGAAGCCAGCGACTAACCGCTTGAGCTATGGCGCGGCCTTGGGTGTGTTCTAAGGAGCCTCCACACAAGGACTATTTTTAATTTTAACTTGGTATACACGTATAAGGAGTCGAGCCGGTCACAGTAGCCGCACGGTCTATGGCATGAACTGTCTTCCCTCGCTCGGAAGCTTTGAACGTGTGTTCGAAACCCACTCGGGGCATGGATATTTTGTGTGTGTATGTTTATTCTATGTTTGTGTTATCCTGTGTTTAGGTAGCAGCCCTGCGACGAGCTGATCACTCGTCCAAGGGGTCCTACAGTCTGTGAAAAATAATTACTGAACTGAATAAGCGGCCTGGGCCCTCGAAGAGTTGGTAGAGCCATCTTTAAAAACAAATATAAGGAGCCGGGATAGCACAGTCGGTATAAAGAGTGGCTACGGGCTGGACGGCCAAGTGGTCGCAGTTCGAGTCCCAGTAGGATCAAGAATTTTCTCCACTTCGTCCATATCGGCTCTGGGGCCCATGAAACCTCCTTTCCAATGGATACGGGGGCTCTTTTCCTGGGGGTAAAACGGCAGGAGCGTGAAGCTGACAACTCACCTCTAGCTACTACCGATGTCAAAAGAACATGAATCTATACATTTATACGCCCTCATGGCATAGTGTTTAATTAGTTAAGCACAGGGACAAATTTACCTCTTACCTTGGTATAGAACACAGAGGGATTGAACTGTTATTCGATCAGTCGAGGAATGTATATCGAATGTATCAGCGGGACTACATTACTTCTTCTTAGCCACACTTTTTAATTCGCGTCTCTGAGGAATAAGTGTTCTTCTCAGCTCTGTGTTCTACAACGTGTATGCAGTGCACATACGAAAATCACATTTATGTGCAGTGCCGTGCTTTCCTACGCGAGTGAGGGGAGAGGGGATGTGTGAATGTCCTACTGACTGGTAGCAGGAGAGATTGGGGGAGTGATCATGGAGGAGGATGTAACAGAGCGAGGAACCGGGACGGAGATCACGCATTACGGAGCAAAATGATGGAGAGAGAAGAGTATATAAGAGAGACCACATGTAATACAGTCAGTGCGAGTGTGGAAGAGTTAGCAGTGGAGTGAGAGAGGGAATGCGGAAGGGGATCCAAAAATGACACAAAGTGCTCTTCTAAATATAACCGTTTTGAAGAAGCAGCAGACGGAAACAAAATAAATAGAGGGGAGAAAAAAAACGTTTAAGGTAATATATTTTTAAAACGAGATTCTCAATTTGGGGTTTCGCCAGTGAAAAAGAGTAAACATCTCTCCGGAAAATCAATTGTTTGTGGAACCGAATATGTATATATGTATATTATATGGATTTGTTTTGTGTGTATGTTTATTTAACGACGGTTTCTGTGTAGAGATTCGGTGTCATCGGATGATAGGATGATAGACGAGTTGGAAGGAAATGCTTATGACGTTATCAATGTACCGTCGCAACATCTGCCTGGAGAGACTGGGATAAATCACGAAACATCTCAGCCAGAAAACCCTGAGTCCCGACCGATGTTCGAATCACGCAACTTCCGGCTACAAGTGTAGGGCGTTATTTGTAGAGCGACCTGTTCAGTGATTTTTAGAACTTTTAAGATTGTGATTTGAAAGAGAAATACAGAATCTGTATAACTTTTTTTTTTATTCTGATTTATGTGGAATTCTATGTAAAGGACTTAGATCAAAGAGTAAGTAGTAAAGGTGCTTTGTTAGAGTGAGTTCACTTGATACGTCGGCCACAATTTTGCCTGTATACCTGTCCCATATTATGGAGAAGTCGGTGGAATGAGAATTGGCAAGGGAAACCAAAGTAGTCGGAGAGAGCATTCTCCGATGTCATTTGTCCACCACAAATCCCACATGATCTGACCTGGGCTCGAACCAGGGCCGCCGACTAACCGCCTGAGCTATGGCACGGCTAGTAAACGTACTTACTACGTAAGTACTTTGAAACCATGCCGAATGCAGATTTTGAAATGATTTGATACAGAAAAGACAAACTCATTCTCTATATTACTGAAGCTGTCACTATAATGCATTGTGACAAGCAGACCCATTTCTAGGAAACGGCCGAAATACGCGCGCGCAACAATAGAAGGGGTATTGGAAGAGGTGTCGGAAGTACTCTGTAGCGTAGTTGGTTGAGGCTGTGACCCTGGAGTCGACTAAGCCTCTAACAAATTTGTACCAGAATTTTCTTGGTGGTACAGGCTGACATCCTTATCACCATCTGTGACCCGATTGCCTAGAGAAAATGTGGGAGCCTCGACGTCTCACAATCCTATGGGCCTTCACAGCCTGTTACAGTAGTGGCCTTTACCTTTACTTTTTTTACGATCTTAAGAGCTCAGTAAATCCAAGTACAAATCAAAACCGCTTCTATAGTCACTCATGCACGTGGCAGTAAGTATTCGTAAGATCGGGGGCTGCCTGTACTACTGACGTCTGTAAGGCGTTATCCTTTTGAACCGTGAAATATGCTGAATCGACTGGACGTGTTTTATTCAGTAGTTATTACGATAGAGAATTAGTTTCAGAAACTCTTTCCTGCAGAATTCCGACTCTGTCAGTGATGTAACCTCTGGCCACATATGTGTTAATTTGACTTTCGACTGCAGTCTTGATATATGTGACAATCTCCTAAACACTTGTTAAAACACCTGAAAAGTTTGTGCCTCGAAATATTACCGCGAGTTATTTCATTTTCAGTTATGCATTTCAAACTGGTTATACTCTTTGGAGCCCCGTATTTAAGCATCTTTTTGCATTACTATATCTAGAAGTGTTTAAGTACTACACAGAAAGCGTGCAGTTACATATGAAATGACTTAATAATATTGGTGCAGTGTAGCAGTTCTGGCAAAGTAAGGCACCTGATTATGGCCATTTAGGGCTGAAACATCTTGTGTCGAAAGTGAAAGTGAAAGAAAGAACGAACAGTTTGTTGCATTGTTGACGGACTGCGTAGTGCATAAACGGTTTTAGATATTCTGTAAATTAAAAAGAAAAAAACTTGATGTAATATTATTGTAATTTTTTCCATGGTATATGTAGTTGTAATATATGAGAATCATGGTTTCGAATTTTGTAATAACTAGCTGACTGCATGGATCTAAGTCCTTCTATATGCTCGTCTGCGTGATGTCTTGTGTATGCTCAGTGATTGTTGTAATGGTATGCAAGGTACGCAAAACTAAGAGATACAGTCGATTACAGCCTATCGTTTCACCAAAGCACACCTTGCGTACCACCACAACATTCACTTTATTCCTGTCACCTGACGAAGGAAAATGAACAAGTTTTCGAAACGTTATGGTTTCAAAAAAAAAAACTGTGATCAAGGATATTTTCCTAAATTTTCTGTAATAATGTGCTTTTTCAAATAATTAATTTTAATTACGAGTAATTTTTCTTGTAATCTGAAACATTTCTTCAGGTTTCACATAATGTCGCGTCATGACCGGTTTGGAGTTCTACGCTCTGGCGATTTATACCTTCGGAGTTGGGAGCTCGAGAGAGAATCCTCACACAGGAACCTAGGACTCTCAGACAGTTCGTCGGACCAACAAGAGGACCAGCAAATACATCAGAAACATCAACACGACTTAAGACATTCAAGTGAAAACACTCTTTGTGTGAGTATCTTACTTAAATATAGTTAATTATATGCTGTAAACATCTGCAATGCTACAAATCACAAAATAGTTATACAGGGTGATTCAGAATAATTTAGCACTATATGAAAGTTGTTTTGTAAATGCTTTTCAAAATATATTTGTAATCCAGAATGTGCTTCATGTATTTTTCACGAATATTTCCGCATTTATGATAGCAATCAAACGCTAGCCACATCTGTGGTGGAATCGATTTTATGAAATGTGATTTTTTTCCTCTGAGATCATTCAAGTTCCCGTGCCTCTGATCCATATACGCGTTATGTGTGTATAACCATGTCCAACCGCTATAAATCACAGGGTATTAGATCTGCCGAACGAGCAGGCAATTCCGGAGGCCCGCCTGTTTTAATCAATCTCATAGAGAAAATGCCGTATAGATGAGCAGTAGCAGTACCGGGAAAGTGCGGACGAGCCTCATAAAGTTGAAACAACTGTTCGCCTGATAACCAAAATTCATATCTGCAGCAATATCTAAGAATATATCATCAGTCACAATGTTGTCGTCGAATAGTACAGGCATGTAGCAGTTGTTGCACCCCATACGTTGATTTTTGGATAATAACATGTTGTTGCTTCCCGCTGTGTATTTAGATTAATTAATGCAATGTTGATTGAATGATACTGATTTACATATAATGTTTGTAATGTCACTTTCACGGTTCTAGTTATTTATTTAGATTAATTAAGTGTAATTAACTAACGCTGTGCTGAATTAATAATATTCGTTTCTATATAATGTCTGTGATCTCTTATTTTTTAAAACGATGGTGAATTTAGATTAATTTTAACAAATAAATTAATTAATTAATTAGCGTTGTGTTTTATGTACGAATATGATGTTAAGTTGCATGATCATATTCTTGCATACGTAAACTTTGTCTAATACGTTTCATATTCAGGATGGCCCAAAACAAGGAGTTGCTTTATCGCCAGTGCTTTTAAACTTTTCTTTAGAATACGTCATTCGTAAAGTCTAGGAAAATCAGGTGGGACTGAAATTAAATGGGACAAATCAGCTGCTGGACAATGGTGATGGTGTAAATCTGTTAGGAGATTATATAAATAGCCTGAAGAAAACAGACTGCAGGAGTTGAGGTTCTCACAGCAGTTGTTATGAAGAGTTTTACTCTCTGGGATACAACGCCGTGTAGCCCTCTGAAAGTCAACCGATGTTTCGGAGGAACACGTCGCCTCAGTATTGAGGCTCGAAGAACAGGCCAAGCAAGAAACCAGCATGAAACTGGTTGCTACCTTCCGTTTAGCCTGGTAGAAGTTCACAGACTTTTTTACAGGAACGTACTGCCTAAATCTTCAGTGTCGTACAGTAAGCCAAACAACAGTTAAGAAACAAACAGCAAGCGTTTTCCTTCCTTATCTTACTCTTTACCCTGAAAGGGAGGCACTGTGTCCTCCGAAACGTCGGTAAATTTCTATCCAACGACACAGCGCTACATCTCAGAAGATAGTATTCTTCTTCGTATAATGGCTTCCTTTGTAACGTACGTTGGTCATTACCATGGAATTTTCTATTGATTTGCAGCGTCTGTCTACCTCTGAAGCTCCATTTCCACTTCTGCTTATTTTTGTAAGAGTGAAGTGTATTGAATTATAAGACAAGATGAGAGGCGAAGGACGGATAACTGTCGACAATTTAAGATTTTTGTTTCGTTGCTGTTACGTAGTACAGTTTAAATAGCCTGGATCGCTCTGGTTTATATTCCAAGCCTTCATGAAAGCACCCCCAAGACATTATTTTCTGATGACTGTAATCAACAGATCTTAATACAGAAGTCTTCAGTTTTACGGAAAATAGACGCCGATAAAACATGCTCCCCGTCGAAATAAATCTGATCTTTTAATCTAGCAGTGCTCTTTATGGTTCAAAATGTAAGTAATTTGCTGCGACTGAATCGTGTTCTTTTAAAGTCTGCGGGATGTAACGGCTTTCATTTCAGTACTAACTTGTAGTTAGGTACAATAAATAAGATAGCATCTGATGTTCGAATGCAGTGCCTCATAGAATAACGACCGAGGTATAAAGAGAGACTTGAGCCTATTTATAGACTGCATAATGAGGAGCTTCAAGTATAATTAGAATGAACAAGTGAAGGAGGATGAGGTAAGCAGGGCATGTAGCACGAATGGGAGAGAAGATAAACGCATATAGGATATTGGTGGGAAAGCCAAATGGAAAGAGACCACTGGGAAGACCAAGGCTTAGGTGGGTAAACAATATTAAAATGGATCTTAGAGAGATAGGATGGGATGGTATAGATTGGATTGATCTGGCTCAGGATAGGGACCAATGAAGGGCTCTTGTGGGCACGGTAATGAATCTTCGGGTTCCATAAAATGCTGGGAAATTCTTGAGTAGCTTCACAATCGCCAGCTTCTCAAGAAGGGCTCAGCTCTGTGTGTGTGAGAGTGATATTTTTGCAATTTGAGGTCTTCATGACAGCGAATATTAAGCGCACTCTCTTCTGAGTGTGACATTATCTTCTCTGTAGATCTTTACCAGCATTTCGGAGGGACAAACTGCCTCTGTCTTCAGGGTAGAAGAGGTATTTACAATCTTTTACCATGAATATGGAGCTACTTTGATCCTTCGATATATCGGTTATGATTTACCAGACTACACGGCGTTACATAATAGAATAGAGTAATATTTAGATTAATCCGCTCCATGCGATTCCACCCTGTTTCTTGAAGATCTATATTAATATTATCCTCATACGTGAGTGAGAAGAGGTTAATGTACTCTCCGATGTGACACTGTGGGATCTGTTAGATATTTGCCGAAGTTTCAGTTGGACATGATGCCTTCTATGACATCACACACCAGATGATAAGCTCCATACTTTCTGCCAATTGCTCATTCATCTCTTCCTTCAGTCTCCTTTTGTGTATTTGTGCAGTTCAGTTTTCTTGTGGATGGGACAGTACAAAGAAATTACGACCATCCGTGGCCCCACGGCGTCACTATACGCCTATCTTCAATGGGTCTCTTCCCTTCAGGTTTTGCCATTACAGTTTTGTATCAATTCTTTATCTATTCGATACGTGCTACGTACCTTGCCCATCTCATCCCTATTTATTTTGTCTTCCTAACACTGTGGAAGAGTACAAATCATGAAGCTCATGATAATGCAGCTTTCTCCTGTTACTGCCTCTGACCAAACATTAATCAAGCACGTACCTCGACTGTATAAAATGCCCTTTAGTCTATTGTCTGTGTAAAGGCGCGTCCACTTTACTCGTGCTCGTGTGACTCGCGATGCTCGCGAGTAATGTGGACGATATGACAAGTCACGAGACAAGCAAATTTTTAATTTCCAATTTAAAAACTATAGCCAATAAATTAAAATACGACTACAGCCTATACACACTACTAGTAAATATACGGATCCTCACACGCCGAAGCCTGGAGAGTAAGTGAAGTAGTGTGGACGAAGATTTACGAGCACAAGTAAAAGCCAGACGAGTCTCCCGACGAGCACAAGCCTGGCGAGCACGAGCGCGAGTAATGTGGACGCGCCTTAAGACATCTTTTAGAGTATAATATGCCTTGAGTAGGCAACCCCAAGTAATTAACTGACTAAAGCCATGTAGCTGAAACCCTCAGAAGCCAATAATTACTCAACAAATCAAGACATTTCCAGCACGTTATGGAACCAAAGTCCCATTGCCGTCTTAGGAAGAAATCACCACTGGTCCCCCATCCTGAGTCAGATAAATCCAGTCCACATTCTCCAATCCTATTTCTTACAGACCCATTCCCATCACCGTCTAGGGTTTGCTAGTAGTTTCTTTCCTTCAAGTTTCCTTTGAATGAATTCCTATACAGTTGATACTGGAGGATTTTTCCCTGGAGGTAAACCAGCCGGGGCATGAAGCTGACAGCGCACCTCCAACTAGTGCTAAGGTCAAGAAAATATGTATCTATAATCTACCCCCTCATACGCCTTCATGGCGTAATGCTTAATTAGTTAAGCACAAGGACAACTTTACCTTTCCTGCACGTTCTGCCTTCTCTTCATCTGTCATCCGCCTTGGTTTGATTATTCTAATATCACAGAAAATAACTCCCGTAAGTTCAGCGAAGTGTTCAGAATGGTGATTTTGGTTCCTATCATATGTTTAAGTAGAATCTGGTAAGCTTCTAATGATAACGTAATAGTCTACGTCACTATGTGATGATGACGCAACCTCAGAAATGTTTTAGACAGTATATATGGGTTTCATAGACTTCTGTGTGAATGGTGTGTGTGGATGGTAAGTACATTCATGTCTCGTTCTGTATTATGCCAATAACTTATCGATTCTGCATGAAGCTGCATGGGTGAGTTGCTTGAGAGGATGGCCTCGAACCCAGGCAACAGCTGAGGAACAGGGAGCATGGAATGTCACCAGTTGCCTCGCCACTGTGGCAACTTCGAATACGATTATGGAGCCATCTGTATGCGGAAGGGTGGCAAGGTATGAAGGGAAGGAGAAAGAATAGAGCGAGAAAGGGGGTACACATGGAAAAGGAAGTAAAGTAGGATGGGAGAGGAGGCGGTGTAGAAGGAAATACGATTCGAGCCAACTGAGTCTCTGAAGGCGGTGAATATTAATACTCTTCCGGGATGTGACGTTGTTTGGTACAGAATTTCCAAAAGTTTCTGGGGGTTTCGGAGAAATCTGTTGCTTTCTTCATCAGAGAAGAATAGGCCCTGAAGATGGTACCCTTATACCATTATTTATAGCGTCGTATCTCGGAAGTCGTCTTCTGACCAACAACTGGAAAAATAGAATATACAAAACTGTAATTTTGCCTGTGGTTCTGTATGGGTGTGAAACTTGGTCTCTGACATTAAGGGAGGAACATAGATTGAAGATGCTTGAGAACAGGGTGTTGAGGAGAATATTTGGACCGAAGAGAGATGAAGTGACAGGAGGTTGGAGAAAACTGCATAATG